CTTGCTTACTTCAACCCTTCCTTACTCTACTCAAAACATGAAAAAACAACAACCAAGAAGCACTTCTACAGCTTTTGCTCCATGGCTCAACGTTCACGTAATCATTGTCTAACCTAGTCAAAAGGCGCCCACGTTTAGTGAAAGGCTTTCCTAATTTGGAAATCTCAAGTAAGAAAAAAAAGCCCCAACAAACAACAAATAGCTATTGAGTATAAAAACACGCAATAAACGGAAGACAAACACTGCTTCTAAGAGCTCTTAAACAGCTCCTTATTGCATTTTCCTTACCCCTTGGCCAAAGATTTCATGTACCCTTAATCACAAAGATACTCGACGCCGCCACTTCATTTGTTTGAACTTCTCTATTATAAGAAAGAAAAGGCCAATTGAGTATAAAAAGAACACGGAATAAACGGAAGACAAACACTGCTTCAAGAGCTCTTCAATAGCTCCTTATAGTATTTTCCTAACTCCGTGGCCAAAGATTTCCAGTATTCTTACATCACAAATCTACTCGACGACACCACTTATTCCACCTTCTGGTTGTAGCTTACTCCACTCCGAGAGCTCTTATCTTATCTAATTATCCACTTCAAAAACAAGTCCAAAGAAGTGCCACAAATAACCCCAAAGTACCCCCTTCTACACATAAAACCCAAACAATACAAAAAGCGACCAAAAAAACCCAACAGCAAAACATGAAAAGTTCTAGAAAAAGCTAACATAACAGCTGCCTCAACTGTCTTGTGAAAAAAAATATTGCGGATCTCAAGTTCTAATATGAAAATAAAAAAGGAAGAAAACAAAATACAGTGTGTCTGAAAAAGAAGACATTATGTAAAGGGCATCATTGCACCAATTTTAGCAAAACTTTGAACTAATAAACTGCAACCAAGGGGACGTTAATTTTGAAAACATGGAGAAAACCTATTTACATGTTCGAAAAATAACAAGTTTCATACATTTAAACTAAAACTGAGAAAATGCTAAGATTTGCACTATAACACACGGACGGTAATAACCACGACCGTCACATTAGATCCTATATCATCGTGCTGAGAAAGTTTTGGAGAAGATTGCGGAGTAAAAGTGATTTTGCTGTGGAGGAGGCCTGGTACCAACAGGACGGGGTTATACCCAACACACCAAGCGTGGTCCTTGCATGGGTACAAGAAACATTCAGGGGAAAGCCTTGTACAGCGAAAGCTTACAAATGAATTGTCCACCCAATCCCCCAAATTGATTCACCCTCGATTATTTCTTTCGAAGGGTTTGACAGGCAAAATGCAGGGAAACAACCAGCAAACAGTCCAACAGTTGAAACTCATTGTTGAACAGGACGTCCAAAGTTTTGTTGAAATTGGTCCAAAGATGACCGAGTTATTGCCCTTTAAATGGACCCTACTCTTAAGACATGAGGTTTTAATAATGCAAAGGAGCAAGTAAAAAGAAACGACAACACCCCCCCTTTCCCCCCTTAACAAAATAAAATATTCCCAACCCATTTTGGACAAAAACAAACAAAAAGAAAATCAAATCACAACCGAAATATTAACCAGCAAAAAGTCAACCAATGAATCAAAAGCATGAATCTTTACTGATATAGAATTTCAATGCTCTGGCTGGCACTTCGGGCTGGTTAACCGTACCAAGGAACCCACTGCCTTTACTGAGGCCCACACGGCTCAGAACGGACAGAGGCCGATGTCGTTCACTTACATGTAGGGCTGGTGGAACGGAAAGACAGTCATATACACATACCCAGCTGCGCACCCATACACACACACACACACACACACACACACACACACACACACACACACACACACATATATGCAGACATACACATGCACACACATACACTTACACTCACACATAGTGCGCTGGAAAGATACCCTTTTGGCGTTTTTGCAGAAGTTTAACGTTCGTTTTTGTTTGAGTAAAGAAATGTATATCGACAAAATATCTGTCATTTGCAGCAGGGAAAAAGTAAGACGAATAGACAGATTCAGATACAGCAGAGGGAGAGGAAAGAAGTAAGATCTACCAATGGCACCCCACAGTCAATGTCGGAAGTTTAACTCGCCACTAGAAATAACAAGCGTTTGCTGGTGACCAGGGCGGTTCAAGGGCAAGAATTATTCATGAATGAACATACTGTCAGTGTAGTTCCACAACTTTTGTTTATTCTTTTAATAAGTGTTTTACGGCACTTGCAACACAATTGGGTCATTAAAGTGCCGAAGGTTAGAGGTGTTACAAACGAGTAACACACATAAAAGGAAGGGTAAGAGCAAACGACCATAGATGTTTGATAGGAAAGACGGAGAAAACCACACGGGAACAGCCACCCACCGGACACTTCCACAAACTCCCAAGTCAATTTCTGGGCGCTTAAAAAAACAACAACTCTACAATATTCAAATAATGAAATGTTAATCTTAAAATGTAGTTTCGTTTTTTTTTTCGTTAGTAAACGGAATCAAGAATTTTAAGGCACTTGCAACACACATAATATGTCATATAAGTGTTGAAGATAAGAGGTGTCACTAGATTTAACGAGAGAGGAGAGATAGGACGGTAGATGTTTGATAGGGAAAAAACCAAATGAACAGACCACACATTAGAGCACCTGTCAATCATCTATTTACAAGAGTGTAGCTACTGTGTCATGAGAGCGACGTTTGCAAAAACAAGCTCACCTTGTACACTGAACTCTTCCATCACTTCCTTCATAGAGCTCACGACCTTCAGGTCACTGATCTCAGCAGCCCTCAGCAACGACAGCACACGAGGCTGGAAAACACACACGTCAACAACACATTACAAAAAGCTAGATGAGATACTGGAAGTCGCCACGCCTCTTTAAAATACTGACAAATATCTCTCGTGCCAAATACATTCAAATTCAACCCCCCCCCCCCCTCCGACCCCAAGTGCATTTTTTTGAAAATGAAGCTTAACATTGGACCTAAACCTAAAAATGAAGATATTACCCACTCCAAGACCATTAAAATATACTGTTATAAATACATCCCCCCCCCCATCCCAGCCACACAAAACTTTCTGATATTCCAAAAGCCCATTATCCCCAACCTCCAAAAGCGAAACAATATCGATCACATATATAGGTCTACTATTCAATTAAATTCTGGATCTGAAGAAAAAAAAACCCTATTTCTAGAAACCCCCCTCCAACGAAATAATACAAACACCCCAACCCACCTTCCCACTTTTCAGAAAACCTTAAATAATACATTCCCCTCCACATACAATTAAAAATAAACAACCCTAAATAATACATCCCCCCAATCCCGTGATACACACTTTACAGAGAACAACCTTAAACAACATCCCTCCCCCCGACCTTCTGTTTCCAGAAAAAAATAGACAATTACTCAGCCCCCCCCCCC